TCGAACCCTGGACCCTCAGATTAAGAGTCTGATGCTCTACCGACTGAGCTACAACCTATCTCAACCTACAACCTACAACCTAATCTAACTTAACCTAACCTAAACCTAACCAAACCCGACATCAAATTCACTTTGCTGTCGGGTTTGCCCGCTGCAGATGTAAGACGCGCGAAAAATCGTGTTAAAATGATTTGTCTCCGATCTTTAGTTTCGTTTAAGTCTTTCGCCTCTTTTTCCCCTCTAGATAATTTTATCGATGATTTGGAACAATAATCGTCTTGGCGCTGCTTATTACAATGTCCTCACGTCTGAATTATTCATTTTGGAAGATACGATGGATGACGTCGAACATTTCGACGTAACGAAAGCTCTGTACAAGCAATGCTTGCCGCATTACGTGCTTGTGAATGCCTCTGCGCCCAGTGCTTTTATGAATGCTGTGAAAAAGATGTTAATGCCGGAAACGTCGGACGACGGGTCGAATTCTTGCGATTCACTGCGCAATGCCGTTTTGAAAGCAACCTGCAAGAAAGAGTACAACTACGAACGATGCTGTCACAGGGTGAAATGCCTTCGACTCGAATTTGAACCAAAGAACGCCAGTAACACGGACAGGCTGACCTTTTTGAACAGCATACTCAATTTTAAGTGCTGTGTGATGATACACGCGTTGGGCTCGCTGTTGCTGTTCGTCGACAAACACTGGAATAATATCGCGCTGGATCCATCCGGGAAACCTTCCTTCGTGTCGCTTAATTACCTGAACCTGTAAGTCCAAGCTTCTTCCCAGACTTTCTCATCATCCATCATTTCTCCACCCTATTCGATTATATCTTTGCGGTACAAAGCCAAGATTTAGTGATGGTGGACGAAGATACCTACAAAGCGCTGAATATCGTTCAAGCCAGGGATCATCCAAGTCTTTTTAAATTTGGCAAAATGGTCACAACGATGAAAGGAGTCAGCCTATTCTCGCTACTGAATCGTTATTGTCATTCCAGACCGGGGGTACAGTTTCTATGGTAAATTCTCTGGTTTATATATAAATTCTTGCACATATTCGCAATGTTAAAATAATATAGGTACATTTTAACTTTCTTTTCTTTTCTTTTCCTTTTTTATCGTCGTTATTTGTATCCAGGAAAACGCTGCATCATCCGACGCGAAACATTGCATTACTAGAACAACGATTAAACGCGATTGAATTTTTCCTGAATTCGAGTAACGAAAGCGTAATCGAAAATTTATCGTCCTGCTTAAGACACGTATATCGTTTGACCAATACGGTACTCGCTTGTTGTTCCGGGCCAGATGCGAAACCATCCAATTGGTATAAATTGCACAAGGTATGATTAGCTCCGGAATCTGGTTAACTCGTAAAGTTTAGTATAACCGATCAATCAAATTGTTCTATCTTCTCTTTCAGACTATTTCAAATGTAATTTGTATCGCGGACATATGCGAAGAATACGCGGGAAACATAGAATTATTCAAGCAAATAGCCGAAAGCATAACGACCGAAATGCAATACATCAAATACTTTATCGAATATATAGTGGATTTTAATGAGAGCAGACGGGAAAAGAAGCTTGTGGTTAAAGCGAACGTGGATCCATTGCTGGATGAACGTGCGTGAAAAACATTCTCTTTCGATTTTTCTTACGAATTCGTAAATCGTGATCGTAAGTCCATTGATTCACAGTAAATCACGTGCGACGCACTTTGCCCGAACTGCTAACGCAAATGGCAGAGAAAGATATGCGAGAGCATCTTCCGTCTTGCGTTGCTGGTTGCAACATGCTATATTTGCCAAACATTGGCTACGTATTAGCGATAAACAAATGGAATCCGACTCCACCAACGGAAGACGTAATTTTCCCGAATTTAGAATTTAAATTCAGTATCAATCAAGTCCATTACTATAAAAGTTCATCGGCGAAAGGTTGGTGATGGTGTTTCGCTTCTACGAACGAAGGGACAATGACGTCTTTTGTTCGATTATTCTCATTTAGTTGGTTTATTCTAGAATTAGACGAAACTGTGGGCGACATCATATTGAAGATAGCTGTTCGACAAAATCATATTGTACAGAAATTAATACGATACATGAAAAAGCACACAGGAACAATCTTACGCACGATTCGGCTCTGCGCCGAATTGGACACGTGAGTATTTGTAATTACAATAGGTACAATTCATTTGTTAACAAATGTTGTTCAATCGTTGTAGCTTGCTGGTATTTTATAAAGTGGCGCGAGATTACAATTACATCAGACCGAATATAACCCAATCAAAGATCATAGACGTGATTGAAGGACGACATCCACTGATGGAATGTGTGACAACGTTCGTTTCGAACGATATACGTTCAGGAAATGGCGAAAGCTTGATCAAAGTTCTAACAGGGCCAAATTCTTGCGGCAAAAGCGTATATTTGAAACAGATTGGACTTATAGTATTCATGGCTCACATAGGTTGTTACGTTCCTGCAAAAACAGCGACGATAGGAACGGTATCTCGGATATTAACTCAAATGTCGAACACGGAAAGCATCGGTCTGAACGCGAGTTCGTTTCTACAGAATCTTCGGCAGGTAGGCAAACGAAGTCTCAGCCGACCAAATCGGAGAGGAAACGAATTGAAACGAATTTGCGTTTCAGATAAACGTAGCTCTACGCGCATCCGTGCCAGATTCTATCGTAATATCGGATGAATTGGATAGGGGAACATGCGAAATTAGTGGATTGTCGCTAGTCGCTGCCGTTCTGAACACATTCGCTGAAAGAGGCTCGAACTGTCCTCACGTGTTTCTTGCGACGCACGCTTATAGCGTACTCACGTTACTCCCTCAAATTCCTCTAATTGAAATTCAGGTGACTTTAGTCAACAGTTTGTACAAAGGACAATTATCCCTTTTTTTTTTCCTCTTCTTTTCATTCTTCTTCTTTAAATATAGACATTCGAATACGCGTTCGACCAAGATGAATCACTGGCGTTTTTCTATCGATTGACAAACGGAAGTACAACACGTAGTTTCGCACATTACGTAGCGAGAATCGCGGAATTGGACGAAGATGTGGTTAAACGAGGATTGGAGGTAATAATTAGATTATTAGTATACAAAACGTTCGGTAACGTACTTGTAATTCGGTCGATTATAGATATTTCAGAAGATGAAACAACATGAATTACCATCTAGTATTTATTCTCATGTCAACAGGTAAACTAATTCTTGTGCATAAATCGTAAAATTTTCAACGACAGAACGCGAAGAATTGCATTCGAAATATTTTGCTTTTTTCAGAATGAAACGTATTGCAGATCGATTTGAAACAGGCGACAATGTGGATTTAAAGGAATTAAAGACATTAGTTCGACAGGCTGTGTTCCCGGAATAATTGAGCGTTCTTCGATTCGAAGAGTCGTCTGCTACGAAGACCAATCGTCGGACAAATCGGATGATACACTATTATTACGTTTATAAATAAATTAAAATAAAATGAGTTCGAATTCGAGATGAAGTTGATCGCAATCTTTTTGCAGCAGCAGCTCGCTATTTCATCTGTTTTGCTTTTACCTTTAATCTGATCACAGAAGAGGTATATAAATAGATCTTGCATACAATGTATTTTTTTTGTTCCACGATTTCGGAGTTCTAGGACCTTCTTACCATTATCATGTTGCAACCTGTCGATCCTGACTACAAAACTTGCAAACTCGAATCTAGTGCAACGAACAAAGTAAAAATAGCAACAACGAACGAAAGAAGAGAAGAGATGAGGGATTCTTAATTTCGTCCCAAGTTCAATAAACGTGTCTTTGTACAGAATGCGTTCACAAAGATTAACTAAAACTAAACGCACACAACTTAAAGTTAAGACGCACGCAACTTAAAGCTAAGGCGCACGCATCCCACGATGTCCTGGGTGCTGCGTTGGGCCGATGTGCACACACGACGGAAGTTCACTTGGTAATGAGTGTCCGTACTACTCAAGGTTATATATATTTCGGTCGTCAGTGATCAGTTGACAACTTTTTTTTCAAACTCCTGAAATTTTATTTTTGTGTATACTTCGAAAGTTTAATTGATAATGATCTTTAAACCGCTCGAGGTTAATCTAATGTTGATAACTTTTTTTTCAAACTTCTGAAACG